TATGTGAAAAATTTATGTGAATTAAGGTTATACAGAGTGCGGCAGAGAGGATGGACGGTTTTAAAAAAGTCATAAAATAGTTAATTTTTACTCGAAAACAAATTCATTGATGGAATCAGGTTCACAAGGAAATAGCATTTGAGACAGTCATGTGTGGAAAATCACATCAGGCATGTGGTGGCCGAAATCGTTGAGTACTGGAGGCGTTCTTGGAAGTTCGCGTAGACTCTCTCTCAACTTGGTTGACTTCCACGCGAATTTCGCCCTTTAATTCGTCCAGAGTTCGGGGCTTGTTCGCGTATACTCTAGCCTTGAGGTGTCCCCATAAGAAAAAATCGCATATGGATAAATCTGGGGACCGAGGAGGCCAATGATCATCGCCAAACCTGGAAATAAGGCGACCAGGGAAGAGAGGGCGAATCACGTCCATGGATGCTCGGGCTGTGTGGGCGGTCGCCCCATCCTGCTGCAACCACACACGTCGGATTGGAACACGTCGCCGTCGTAATTCAGGGAGAAAGAAGTTGTTGATCATGTCGACGTAGCGCTCTGAGTTCACGGTAACATCACGACCATTACCGTCTTCGAAGAAGTAAGGGCCAATGATGAAAGTTTGCGATACAGCGCAGCAAACCGTTACTTTTGGGCTGTGCAGCGGTCTTTCGTGTAACTGTTGCGGATTTTCATTAGCCCAATAACGACAATTCTGCTGGTTAACCATGCTGTTTAGGTGAAAGTGGGCTACGTCACTCATAAACAAAATGAGGTTCTCATTTTGATCGATCAGTGCTTCCATCTCACCTGCGAAGTTCATTCGTTGTGCATAATCTCCGGGCTGTAACTATTGCACCATGGCCAATTTGTAGGGGTGAAAGCGGAGATCCATATGCAAAATTCGCCTTACCGAACGATCACTAAGGCGAAGTGCAGCAGCATGTTTCCGGGCAGATCGAGTCGGACTGTCGAACGCGTTCAACATTTTCAGGAGTTCGAACTGTTCGCGGCGCTCCTCTTGGTCTTCTGTTGATCAGTTCACCACGCCTGCGAAGTGATTCAACCCAACGAAGGATGGTGTTTCGAGAGGGAACAGCTCTATTCCGATGAATGTTGAAGTGGCGACGAAACTCACGCTGTACGACGATTACTGACTCATTATTTCGGACGAAACAATCATAGGCGAAAACGCGGTGCTCCACCGCCCAAGGCTCCATAACGACAACTGGTAAAATAAGGCTAGGATCTCACGAGTCAAACGACACCCTCCCCACCTCTCTCGTAATCGGAGGCGGAGAGTACTACCCATCCCAAAAACGTCCGTCCTCTCTGCCGCACCCTATATTTCATTATTCATTTCACAAACTGTTTCAATACATGTGGAATAAACCCTGAAAATTTCAGCTTGCTACTATAAGTGCCTCACCTTAAAAAATTGTATGTTTGACGCAGGTGGGTATCTATACATGTAAACAAGAAATCCTATTTAACCAGCTACTGTCCAAACGACTTGATGGATTTTGACATATAAGGTACTGTTAGATTCGTCCTAGCAGTGCGAGTTGTACTGTGTGTCTTATTGTAACTAGAATAAATAGTACCGTTGGCGCCATCTGTGAGGACCACGCCAGACTCTCCTACTCGCTAGCTGCTTCATGGCCGATCTCTGTTGAGGGCCGTGCCAGTGACTCGCCTTCTAGATCGACGCGAAGTGACCTGGAAGAGTCTAGACTGCCGCTTTGTGGCTCGTCAGACTCTTCTCGAATCAGCGATGCGGACTGCATAGTTCGACGGCCGGGAGATAGAAGCACAGTAGAGTAGAGTAGAGCAGAGTGGAGTATAGTTCAGACAATGGCGCGAGATAAGAATTAGTTAGACATAAATAGTGGTGTACATAAATGTTCTATCAAGTTAAATAAATTAGTGCATTTCTTTTTGTGGAATCAAGTGTTTTAATCCACACCCAAAACAACCCAGAAAAACGCTACTTTGGTGTCAGGCATGGGGTGCGGATTATTGGACATTTAGCGAAAATAAATCGGACCATCAAAGAGAGAACTGGAGGAAAAAGAGTGCGGCACGGCTGGAAAGAAAGCAGAATTACAGGAGCGGCTTCGTCAAGCACTGATTGAGGAAGATGATGACCCGGATGTTTTCATTTTTATCGGTGTAGGGGATATTGGTTTGATGCTGCAAAACCTTTCGATCAAGTTAGAAAACAAGCTCGTGGAAAATTAAGCCAATCTAGAAGGAAAGTTCATGGAAAATTGTGCCAACCTAGAAGGAAAACTCTTGAAAAGTACAGCCAAATTAGAAGATAAGTTTTTGGAAAATACTGCCAATTTAAAAAACGAATTGGAAGCTAAAATTATGGAAAAATCTTTTGAGTTTGGAAAAACGGAATTTAGAAACTTTAGAGGACAGAATTAAAAGCAAGCTTACCGCTTTAGACGTCAAGACCATCGACGAACGACAGCGTGGGAAAATCAAGCAATTTGATGGGACACCGTCTTGGAATGTCTACTGACGTCAGTTTGAAGCAGCCGCGAATACAAATGGTGGATCTTCGACCGAAAAGGCAAATGCACTCACTTTGGCCCTGCAAGGAGATGCTGCAACTATTCTTCAAAGAATATTACCCGAAGAGCAAGAAGTCTACGAACAGCTAATAGGACATTTGGAGATGTGATACGGCCAGTCACATTTAGAACATGTCTACCATACACAACTAAAGAATCGGTTCCAGAAGTCAGTGCGAGTCCTTGCAAGAAAATTTGAACATGTGTGAAAGTGACCCTCAATTTTTGAATAACGTAATCACAGGTGACGAGTCGTGGATCTTTGAGTATGATCCCGAAACAAAGAGGCAATCTTACGAGCGGCACGCGACGGCGTCTCCTCGCCCAAAAAAGGGAAGAATGAGCAAATCCAAAGTGAAAACGATGCTCATTGTCTTTTTTGACATCAAAGGCATCGTCCACCATGAATTTGTTCCTCCTGGACAAACCGTCATCGCCAAGTTTTACATGGAACTGCTCAGGAGACTCAAACGAAGGGTCAGTCAGGTCCGACAAGACATCGCAGCCGACTGGAAGTTGCACCACGACAACGCCCCGGCTCACACCGTCAGCTACCTGACCAAGGCCGGCATCCCAATGCTTCCGCAGCCGCCCTACAGCCCAGATGTGCCCCCCCCCCTGGACTTTTTTTTGTTTCCTCGGCCGAAAAGGCCGATGAAGGGCAAGCATTTTGAGACGACAGAGGGGATCCAAGCGGCATGCACCGCGGCTCTCAAGGCTATTCCGGAGAATGCCTTCCGTGACGCCTTCAATGCTTGGAAATCGCGCTGGCAGCGCTGCATCGACGCAAAAGGAGCCTATTCTGAAAGTTTTTAAAGAATTGTAATGATTGGCTCAATAATTTTTTTCAAATCAACTCAATCCTACTACTTTCCGGACAAACCCTGTACTTCATTGGCAGCATATTCAGTAATTATTTTCTCACACAGCAAATATCACTGATTTTATAAATATGCAGGGCAATACCCATAGTCATCCAGATGCGATCTTGCTATTGAAGCAACTTTTTTCTCATAGATAAAAAAAACAGACCGCTCGGATTTGCAACGCATATGCAACCAACAATGCGTGTAGTTTAGATAAATCATTCTTCCATGGTTGGACGCTCACAACGATCCTAGTGAGCAAACGTGGAATGACTGTTTGTACCCTATAAACTACCTAGGCATGGTGGGATTTTATAGGTTTTTTTATGACGATTTATAGGTTTTTTACATAATACCCGTGCCGGCATTACAAGCATTCCGCTTGATCACCATGTTTGATCCACTCCACAACTACTACACCAACAACGGTAACGTTCGAATATGAAATTCCTTGCGAAAATCACAAATCATACTGAAGAGTTCGGAGAGCGTCACCGGCACGGGGCAGTGGCATTATATCGATGTTTTTGGCACTACATTGGTTTTTTATGACATTATGTAAGTTTTTCTACAAGATGTTAAGTTAGCACTAGCTGATGGACACGTTGTGAGCTCGTTTTGTAGTTGTGCGTGTTGTCTAAACATCATGAAGCTTCAGTTACCAATGTTTGGGTCTGACGTGATATAAAATCTGCTTCAGAGATGCCATTAATGGAGGTAACGGTAATGCATAGGTGTGCATAGTGAGGATTTTTGTGCTAATAAAATGTGTTGATGATAATTCCATTGGATTCTTGTCTCAAATACACTTACTTGAGGTTCAAAGCTAGACATTAGTTGCGCATCCACTTTTTCTTATCCATCCTGAAAATTACATATGCAAATTTGCTGAATTTCAAAAATGAGTGAGATAAGAAGTAATTATATTCACTGTACACTGTCGAAATACAAGTCATATACCTGCAAACAATAATTACACACACGCGGGCGCGGTGGTAATTTCCCGTAATTCTTTTTGAAAACGCAACAGAACGTAGAAAATCGTAATTTATAACTTTGAACATAACCTATCTTCAGAAAGGACAACTTATAAATAACCCGTCGGGCACAGCTCATAGATATTCTTCAATGGCAGCATATTCTGTAATGATTTTCTCACACAGCAAATATCACTCATTTTATACACAATTATCCAGATGCGATCTTGCTATTCAGCCGACTTTCTTTTCAGAGATGAAAACTATAGACTACTCGCCTGCATAAAACATATACAACCAACAATGCTTGTAGTTGAGCTACTTCTCTATAGATGGACACTCACAACGATCCTAGTGAGCAAACGTGGAATGACTGTTAGCACCCTAAAAATTACCTAGTCTGCAAGACAGCATTTTATAGGTTTTCTTTTGACATTTGTAGGTTTTTTGCATAATACCCGCGCCGGTATTATGTACAAATTAAGTTATTAGCGGGGTCAATTTATATTGGGACACCCCGTACGATAAATTATTTTCGCTTAATTTCATGCAAGCTTAGGCAACACCGTAATGTGTAATCGTCTGTCAGTTGTCACTTATAACCTCTCCTCTCATGTCGTTTTTTTGTAGGGTGGTAACTGTCATTGGAAAACAAAAAGAGCCGAAAATTTTCTGCCAGAATGGAAAATATTATCTCAAAATTGCTTGTAGCTGATAGCAAGACAATACAAGAGGTAAATTTGTGTTTCAGTTTTGCAGGACCACTCTCGTATCACCTAACCTACAAATACACGTGTGCCTGACTAATCTTTTTTTAGGGAACGAAAGAGCTGAAGGAAGCCTTCAAGAAACCTGAAGCAATACCGGCGCTATGCGACGTTATCGTAACGTCACAAAACCCACAGATAAGGCAGTCGGCTGCTGTGTTACTAAGGCGAAAACTTGGAAAAAAGCGGCAATGGAGCAAAATAAACATAGACATCAGGACAAGGTACTGAACTGAAGACAAACTTTAATCTTTAAGCTGGATGGAGTAATTAAATGAAGTATCTTTCGAATGGTATTACTCATCAGCAACTATGTGAAAAGTCGTAGTGTACTGTGCCCAGCCATAACTCCATATATGAAAGTTGCCAAGTATCTAGAGCTGGTTCAACATAAGGTTTATTGGATGCAAGTACCTCGGCCAAATTTCAGGAGCCCACAACCATTGAAATAAGTATTTTGCAAAGTTTGTTCATAATTTTGCTAAAACAACTTTTAAAAATTAACAATGATTCATTATACAGGGTGATTCACAAGTCGTCGCCAAAAATGATACATACATATGACCGCATTTTAAGGGGGTCTTCTATGTAACATTTTTTCCTTGAGGGCTTCATTAAAAAGATACAGAGTGTTGAAGTTTAAACAGAAGGTAATTCTTTAGCTTAACAGCCGTTTTTGATGAAAAAATGATTTTAGACCCTGGTTTTTGGGTGTAGATGGAAGAAATGGACCTAGAAATGAGTGCAAACATAAAAGTTCTGAAATGTTTTACTATATAATAGGTTTTTGTTGAATGTTTGTCTTCAAAGACTGTGTGATGTTGCCAGATTTCATTACTTAAAAGTTTTCGTGTTGATGGATATTCTTGATAATTAAATTTGTACATATGACTTCACACAATCCTACATAATGTCTAATGCACTAGCGGCAACTCAATGGGAATCAAGTTCTAGATTAAAAGGAGAGCTGCTACGTGTGGAAATACATATATTCCTTAATTTCCATATATTTCTTCAATTTGGCAACATATTGGTATATATACAGTAATGGACAAAAGTATATAGACATATTATTATTGTGCTGTATTTCTTTTTTAACTTTTTTTATTAATACACCAACCTGTATACATAATTCATTATAGCATTAATACTCACTTATACATCAATAAATTCATTAGACTCCTTCAATAAAAAATTAATTGAAAAAACTGGAACTATGAAGGACAAAAATATATAGACAAATCAAAACAATTATAGAAAAAACAATCAAAGTTCATTGAATTATAGAAAACCAACCATGTTTGTGTTAATATTTTGTAGCATAACCATTATTTTCCTTGTTCGAATAATTTTTATCTCGTATTTGCTTATCTAAGTATTAACATAGATTTTCAATGGGGTTTATATCAGAAGACTGTGAAGGCGATTTGAGAACTGGTATTTTTTCATCCAGAAAGAATTTCTTTGCGAGATTTGAAGTGCGCTTCGGGACATTATCTTGCTGGAAGATTGATTTTAAGGGTGTATTGTCTTCCATATAGGGTAACATGACATGCTTTAGTATGTCTGTGTATACAAACTTAACCATAATGCCATCTATTCTATGTAAAGGTCCCATCCCAAATCCTGAAAAGCAGCCCCAAACCATAACAGACCTGCCTCCATGTTTGACAGCGGGCAAAGTGTACTTGGGGTTCAATCTTTGTCCACTAGGACTTCTAACGTAATGAATACATTCTCATCCAAATATATTGAACTTGGAGTCATCACTGAATCCAATCAAGATGCCACCATGCAAATTGTAATTGGTCCTTACGGTTTTAATCTTCTACTTATATTTTTCGTAAAAACACTGACAATTCCTTTTGTCTCGATTTTGGCTTTTATTTGTCTTGGGGTTTTAAACGTATCTTTGGACGAAATTACTTTTATTAATCTAACTGATCTAGCTTTTAGTTTTCTAGACCGACTTCTCTTAGAGGCACTGAACGTAGAATGTCCCAGAGAATCGGCTATTTCTTTTGCTATGCATCGTATTAGCAGACCTAAAAAAAATAAGTTTTTTGCGTTTTTGTCACGACGTACCTATTAATAACATCACTCTTTTTATCTATTTTGGAATTGATATGTAAACAAAATTCGGGATTCGCGCACCGCACGGCGACTGATCAGGAGACCGGAAGAGTCTACCACTGCTGGCTCTCTTTTTATTTTATTTTTTTGTACCTACATTAACTGAATTATATTTGCATTTCCATATTCTTTAGTTTATTGAGAAATAACATAGACAACTTCAGAAAAAATAGTAATATTTCAAAAGTAGCGATTTTCTACGCATTTTGGAAAATGGCGATAACACAAAACCCATGTAAATCGGATAAGGGCATATATGGTTTTTCTTCATAATGGAGATGGAAACTGGCATCATCGTTCAATTCAATTCAATGGACTTTATTGTAACACATACATAATTATGTATCCTTACAAATGGCGAAGTCTGGCCAATGGCCATTTATACTTAACCATAAATGCCATTATTACTACCTTAAAAAAAAAATAAAAAACTGAAAAAGAAGAATAACAGTGAAAGAAGAATTAATAAATATGACATAATGCGTACGATTAGAACAAAAAACATAATACGTACGATTCAAAGAGACGACAATAACCTAAGAGCTCAATAAGTAGTTCTTATATTTTTTTTTTAGAAAAGTTGCTGATGAAACAGAGTTGATCAATTTCACCGCATTATACGTAAAAGACCGTTGAAAAATGGCTGTCCTATGTTGTGGCATTGTCAGGAGATTAATGTTGCACGTATTCAAATTGTGAATTAAATTCCTACGAACAAGCTTTTGCATAAGATAAACCGGAACAGAAGTTTTTAATATTTTTACGACAAATGTAACAAAGTTGTATTTGAAAAGATCAGAAATTTTCAACCAATTCATTGAAGATATTGAGTGAGTAGCATGATCGTACCTTCTTAAATTGTTTATGTAACGACTACATGAGTTTTGAATTTTTTGCAGTCTGCATTTTGTGATTTCATCCAGACAGGGATAATAAACTATGTTGCAGTAAGCGATTTTACTGAGTATGAGTGACTCGCATAACATTTTCTTAATTTTTCTATTTAAAACAGTTTTACGAGTACTTGCATATAGAAGCCTGAGTCTAAAATCACTAGACTTACACACATAGCCAACATGCTCCTGAAATCTGAAATCTTCATCCAAGTACAAACCTAAATTTTTTGCAAAATGGGAAAATATTAGGATACTATTATTTAGTGATAAATTTAACTTTGATTTGAGGAAAGTACGTTTTTTCTTGGAGCAAAAGAGTATAGCTGTCGATTTCGATGCGTTTAGACGTAAATTATGTTTTGCAGCATATGTACATAAGTATTCCAGATCTTGATTGATAAGGTTGTTAGCTAAATGGTAGTTGTTCGGACAGAAATTATGAAAAACCTGCATATCATCAGCATATGATTGACTAAAACAATGTTGAAGGGTGTTAGAAATGTCAAAGGTGTATATAAGGAATAAAAGTGGACCTAATATGGATCCCTGAGGCACGCCGGAACAAATCGGCCTTTTGTCTGAAAGTTTATTTTGTATGACGACATATTGATGTCGTTCATTTAAATAGCAATCTATCGTTGCCATGGAAACATCTCTTATGTAGCTTATATTGTCTACTGAGAATTTAATATTTGACACATGTATTCATTCTCAAGAATATTTCATTTTTTTACCCTAGGATCAAACAAGGCATGCTCCAGGCGTTAGTCAGTGAACAAGAGAAGCTGGTAAAAAATGCTATTGCACAGTTTATTGGTGTTATAGGGAAGCATGAATTCCCTGACAATACTTGGCCAGAAGTGTTACAATTTATACATACCTTAACTGTTAGTGAATCAAATTTTGACAAAGAGGTAAGATTTGCTTTTTAGTAGCATTTTCTAGCTGCATTTTCTTCAAACATTACTAACCTGGATACTCCCAAAGTTCTACTGAGAATTTTGACTTTAACATTTAATAGTAATATTTATTGAATTTTAAACTGGTGGTGCCATCTCTAAATGCTCATCAAACTTTCCCAGTGATGCCTAATTCAAGGTCATGGATTAAAATAAACGAAAAGAACACCAAGTAAATGTGCAGTTCTTTCCAACAAGGAAATTCCAGCTAGCAGCGACTGTTGTATACAGTCATAGTAACAAGTTAATGATATGATAATAACAAATGTTTTTGCTTTTCCAGCTTGGAATGTATACTTTATCGATAATGACTGAAATAGCTCAAAGTTCTTATATCGTCCATGCTGACTCATTTGCTGTGCTGTTCACGAATATCCTGAATCAACTGACTGACCTTAAATCCAATGTAGCTTACTATACAGTCACTACAATGAAGAATCTCGTACCCGTCATAGGAGGACATCAACAGGTAAATGCATATTTTCAATATGCTTTCAGCCTCAGGTTTCACAATAACATGGGCGCTTTTTGCTTTAATCTGATATTTCCTATTCTTTTGAAATGATCTCTCTAAGAAGATATGTTACGTTGTATTTGAAACATTGCAAAATGCGAGTATTAATGTTGTGCAATATTCGACTACATCTTCTGTTACAGATGGTCAATGTATACCACAGCCTTTTGCCTCGTGTTCTGGAAGTGATTAACGCCACGGCTGAAAATGACGAAAAACGCACCTGTGACATGTTTGAGATCATCGAAGAGTTGATAGAATATGCCATCACAGCCATAGTGCCCCATATCACGCTGATAGTAGAGATGTGCCTACGTATTGCTAGCAATGCAAATTTACCCAAAAGTGTTCAGATCAAGGCTGTCAGTGTTGTTGGGTGGTTGATTAGATCCAAAGGAAAGGTATGTTTTTTATGATAATGATGTCGGACAAAAAATCTATATCATCATGAACATCACTCCGGAACTCTGCAAGAGGGTGTTTCAGAATAAGCGCGCGCAATTAGAAGAGTGTGTCCGAAGGATGAAATGATGTTTAAGAAATAAAACCCACCGAATTTACGGACAGTATAACAGTAACTTGAGCATGATCCCTGGTATCTTGCAGGTTATACAAAAACATAAGCTGGTGGAACCTATCATCGACGTCCTCATCCTATTAATGGCACAAGTTCCGGAAGATGAGGGCAATGAAGAGTATTTTCTTGGAGATCCAGATCAGTTCACGTCCATAACTGTAGCTACACAAACGTTAGATTTGATTGCCCTCCATATACCAGCTGAAAAAGTTGTTCCGTACATACTGACCAAGGTGGAACCCGCAATACAAGGTACGATATTCACTTTACGCTATTGGCTTAGAATAGATTTATGTGTGACACTAGATGTTTTGATGCAATGACATTACCCAGATTTACCACCAGCCAAACCGACTCTTTAATAATAAAAATAATTCCAGCTTTATTAGGGCGAAATTTAGTCAGAGGCTAACCCTCCTGAGAAAGAAGATTATACAGGAATTTAGAGAATAATATAAATGACTTACAAAATCAAAACGTGAAACTAGCAATATCACTCTGCTAGTAGCTTTGCCTATTGCGTATTCACCTGATTATATAATTTCACTGTGTTATATGAGAAAGATCTTTGGAATAGTGTTGAATGGTGACGATGTATACTGAAGTTAACCCCGCGTCTTAAATTTAGGTTTAAGTTTTTCAAATAGATGAGATGGTGTGGAAGTCACTATTTGTGTACAAAAGTGGGATAGTGTAATTTTACAGTTTTTTCTTTGACATTCAGGCAACCAATTTCTTTCAGCTTTACGAATGTATGATCATATTTTCTTTTTTGTTTGTTTGCTTATGATTTATTTAGCATCATTGCTATAATTACATTCTTCTAAAAAACTAATCAATTACATAACATACAGACATTCAGAAAAAAATTATCTCTAAAAATGTTCATTGTCCATGAAATATTCCTTTAATTTTCTTTTAAATATCTTTGAATTACAAGTAAACTTTATATCATTATTTAGTTTATTAAATTCAAGTAATCCTTTCTGAAATATTGATTTGCTAGTTATATTACTATTGCAATTTTGTAAATAAATATATATTTTTCCTCTTGTATAATAATTGTGGTAATGATTATTCAATTCTATATAGAGTTCTAAATGTTCTGGCAAAAGATGATTTTTTATTTTAAATATAAAAATAAGAACCAAATATGATATGAAATTTTTTATACTCAACCACTGCAATTCTTGAATCATAGATTTTATTTTGGTGTACTTATTTTTATTCTCATAGCTTTATTTTGCAAGACTTGTAATTTTGAGAATACAGCTTCATTGGCAGTGAACAAGATAGTTGATAGTGATCCTCAAACTTTAGTTTACTATCAATATATACTAAGTGACATATAAATCCGAACACCCAGTTTAAATGATTTTATTTTAATAAAATTTTGTATATGTACTTAATGAAGCATAATAAGTAAATGATAAAAATTTCAAAATGATTGCACTGCTTTAAAGCTCTTTGACCTTTAATAATGTGTGGATGCACCCTGATGTGCTACGCATTCTCCAACACGCCTAGGCATGCTTCTGATCAGGTGGTCAATGTCCTCCTGTGGTATCTCATTCCAGGCAACCACCAACTCCTCTCGAAGTGCTTCTAGAGTCTGAGGAGGACGTTGCAAATTGAGCAATCTCCTACCCATCATATCCCACACGTGCTCAATTGGAGATAAGTCGGGAGATCTTGGTGGCCATGGTAACAATGTGACATCATTATGTTGAAAGAAGTCTATTGTGACTCTTGCAACATGTGGTCGGGCATTATCTTGTTGGAAAGTTGGATCTGCCAGGGTGTCAAGATAGGGTAAAAGATGGGGTTCTAGAACTTCGTGGATATAACGCTGCGCGTTCATGTTACCTCTGATGAAGATTAAAGGTGACCTGGAACCATAAGCTATAGCACTCCAAACCATAACTCCAACAGTGTGATGAACATGTCTTTCAACAAAAACTGTGGATTCCTACTTTCACCACGTCGCCTTCTAACCCTGGCACGACCATCGTGCATGCCTAAACAAAATCGAGACTCGTCACTAAAGACAATACTGTTCTATTCCTGATCCCAGAGTGACCGTTGTCTGCACCACTCAAGGCGATTACGTCGGTGTTCTCGAGTTAAAGGGAGGACCCAGTGTGGCCGGTATGAAAACAAGCCAAAACTTCTCATTCGTCGGTAAACACTTCGCATGCCAATAGGTCTTCCGTGTTCTGCAAACCATTCATTTGCAATGGACCTGGTAGTGGAGAAACGGTCCCTTAAGGCCAATAATCTTAGGCGGCGATCTTGACGGTCTGTTGTTCTACGGCGGCGTCCAGTGCCCCTTGCTCTTTGCGTACGGCCTTCTCGAAGCCATGCCTGACAACACCTAACCACAGTGTCTACACTTCTTTGCACTCTAACTGCAATAGCCCGAAAAGAAAGTCCAGCTTCCCGAAGTCCCACTATACGGCCCCTATCAAACTCTCTAAGTTGACGAAATCGTACAGGTCTCCGTACTCTAGGCATCGTAACCGATCGTAAAGGATGTCAAGAACCAAAATCCGCCAACGTTGATTCTTTACTGCGGCTGAAATATTCATTTTTAGAGCGTTAGTGAATTAAAAAAAAAGCAGTAGAAAAACCGGAATGTCCAACTGATAAGGCTGAAAATTTTTTCACTTGTTATTTACAGTAAGATAAATACATTCACCAACTTTTATTAAAATAAAATCGTTTAAACTGGGTGTTCGGGTTTATATGTCACTTAGTATATATACCTAAGTATTTAATCGATTTAACATTTTCAATTATTTCTCCATTTATCCTAACTGTGATAGTATTTTCATTTAGGTATTTCCCCATTAGCACACATTTTTTTAGAAGTATTCAATTTTAGTTTATTTACATTATACCAATTTACGATTCTTGCCAAGTCAGAATTTAGCATTTTTAAGCAGTGTCTATAGTTTCATCTGATATGGATATTAATGTATCATCTGCAAATATCTGAGGTTTACAATAATCTAAAATATTACAAATGTCGTTAATGTATAAAATAAATAGTAGTGGACCTAGTTTACTATCTTGAGGTATACCAACAGAAATATTTTTTGATATTGATAATGTAGATCCAGTTTTGATTTTTTGACTTCTGTCAATTAAATAGTCTTGTAGAATTTTGAATACAGATCCTTTAAATCTGTAGTGATGCAATTTGTTAAGTAATTGATCCCTGTCAATAGTATCAAACGCCCTTTTGAAGTAGAAAAACACTGTTACTGTATGTTTCCGATTGTCCATACATCTTCTCCAGTCCTCTAAAACCATTTGTGTTGCCGTTTCAGTTGCGTGTTTCTTCCTGAATCCAGCTTGAAATTTGGTTAAAATGTTATTTCCCTCAATAAATTCGATGATCTGTTCGTAAATAATTTCTTCAAAAACGATTTCATCATCTGGCAGAACATTTATTGGCCGCATATTGGCGTACAACTCAGTATTCTTAACTTTAGAAACAGCAGTTATGGTAGAACATACATTGAGAATTTGGCACTTTCTATAGACTTATCTTCATGACACTGTCCAGGCAGCTGCAAATAAGATGTCACAGTAATGTATTGTATGACTAACGATTTAAATAAGGTTTTTTTAAAATTAGTACTAAGAACGTGTTTGTATATAATTTTTAATTTTGAATAAGATTTTTGTATAATACTGTTGACATGATCTCAAATTTTTGTCATTTGCAATTTATCTATTACTTCTAAATTGCCGTTTTATATACTTTTGCTACGATGTAACCTTATGTGATTATAAGATCTTTTTTGACAAAATAAGATTGAGCTACACTTACTGGGATTCAATTACAGCTTGTGGTTAGTAGCATATCTGACAACGTTCTCTATATCTTCATTTGTTGTTTTTCATATTAAATTGATGAATGAACTGGATATCATCTGCATAAGCAGCCATAGAACAAACAGTGTGACAAAACAGTCGGAAAATAGTCATGGTAGATTATGAAAAGTAGAGGCCCCAGAATTGAGCAGTGCTAAACTCTTGAAACAGTTTGTTTACTTCCAGATATTTTTTTGTTGTTGAAGATTTATTTAGTATTAATGCTACAATGTCAATTTTTTTTAATGATTCGGTTACATATTTTTCTTCGATCCATTTTCTGTAATTTTACATTCTTGTCTATAATAATTAAAATTACGTCACTATGTATTTTGATTATTCATAAAGTGATTTTTTAATTTCACCTTAAACATTTTTAAATTCGAACTCTGTTTAATATCATTATTCAATTTATTAAATTCAAATACTCCCTTTTGAAATATTAATTTACTAGTTATGCTACTATTACTATTTTGCAGATGAAAATCTATACTGCCTCTAGTTTTGTAGTTATGACAATGATTATTTAATTTTGCGAAGATCTCTAAATGTGGTGGTAATAAATGATTTTTTTAATTTGAATATGAAAACGAGAACTAAATAATATATGACATTTTTCACATCCAACCAGTTCTTCTAACATAGACTTAATCCTAGCATATTTGTTTGTATTTAAAATGATTCTCATAGCTTTATTTTGTAGAATTTGTAATTTTGAAAATGTTTTCATTTGCTGTAAACAAGATGGTTGACCAATATAAAAAATGGGGAAGAATTATAGTGTTATACACAATTTTTTTGGAATACATACTAAAATTATGGGAAACTCTATAGAAGTAATTTATCTTTTTCGATATTTTTGAAATAATGTATTCATAATGTTCGTGAAACAGTAGCTTACTATCCACATATATACCAAGATATTTATATGACTCGACTACTTCAATTTTTTCATCATTAATCACGAGCCTAATTGTATTCTCACCTATTGTCATCTATTGTCATACATTTATATAAATAATAAATAGTAGCGGCCCTAATTTACTCCCCTGTGGCACCCCTACTGATATATACTAAGTGACATATAAATCCGAACACCCAGTTTAAATGGTTTTATTTTAATAAAATTTTGTATAAGTACTTAATGAAGCATAATAAGTAAATGATAAAAAATTCAAAATGATTGCACTGCTTTAAAGCCCTTTGACCTTTAATAATGTGTGGATGCACCCTGATGTGCTACGCATTCTCCAACGCGCCTAGGCATGCTTCTGATCAGGTGGTCAATGTCGTCCTGTGGTATCTCATTCCAGGCAACCACCAACTCCTCTCGAAGTGCTTCTAGAGTCTGAGGAGGACGTTGCAAATTGAGCAATCTCCTACCCATCATATCCCACACGTGCTCAATTGGGGATAAGTCGGGAGATCTTGGTGGCCATGGTAACAATGTGACATCATTATGTTGAAAGAAGTCTATTGTGACTCTTGCAACATGTGGTCGGGCATTATCGTGTTGGAAAGTTGGATCTGCCAGGGTGTCAAGATAGGGTAAAAGATGGGGTTCTAGAACTTCGTGGATATAACGCTGCGCGTTCATGTTACCTCTGATGAAGATTAAAGGTGACCTGGAACCATAAGCTATAGCACCCCAAACCATAACTCCAACAGTGTGATGAACATGTCTTTCAACAAAAAACTGTGGATTCCTCCTTTCACCACGTCGCCTTCTAACCCTGGCACGACCATCGTGCATGCCTAAACAAAATCGAGACTCGTCACTAAAGACAATACTGTTCCATTCCTGATCCCAGAGTGACCGTTGTCTGCACCACTCAAGGCGATTACGTCGGTGTTCTCGAGTTAAAGGGAGGACCCAGTGTGGCCGGTATGAAACAAGCCAAAACTTCTCATTCGTCGGTAAACACTTCGCATGCCAATAGGTCTTCCGTGTTCTGCAAACCATTCATTTGCAATGGACCTGGTAGTGGAGAAACGGTCCCTTAAGATCAATAATCTTAGGCGGCGATCTTCACGGTCTGTTGTTCTACGGCGGCGTCCAGTGCCCCTTGCTCTTTGCGTACGCCCTTCTCGAAGCCATGCCTGACAACACCTAACCACAGTGTCTACACTTCTTTGCACTCTAACGGCAATTGCCCGAAAAGAAAGTCCAGCTTCCCGAAGTCCCACTATACGGCCCCTATCAAACTCACTAAGTTGACGAAATCGTACAGGTCTCCGTACTCTAGGCATCGTAACCGATCGTAAAGGATGTCAAGAACCAAAATCCGTCAACGTTGATTCTTTACTGCGGCTGAAATATTCATTTTTTAGAGCGTTAGTGAATTGAAAAAAAGCATTATAAAAACCGGAATGTCCAACTGATAAGGCTGAAATTTTTTTCACTTGTTATTTACAGTAAGATAAATACATTCACCAACTTTTATTAAAATAAAACCATTTAAACTGGGTGTTCGGATTTATATGTCACTTAGTATATTTTGAACACTTGACATAATATTGCCAACTTTTTTGACTTCTATTTACTAAATAATTTTGTAAAATGTGTAATACTGATTCTTTAAAGCCATAGTGATTTTTCCCTATCTATAGTCTCAAATGCCCTTTTGAAGTCTAAAAATATTGTAACAATATATTCTTTCTCATCTATACTTCTCCAGTCTTCCACCACCATTTGGATTGCCGTTTCTGTGGAACATTTTCTTTTAAATCCAGCTTGATTTTTTATCAAAATTTTAGTTTCTTCAATGAATTCTATGATTTGTTCGTATATTATCCCTTCGAACAGCTTCTCGACATCGGGCAAGACATTAATCGGTCGCATATTTGTATATAGCTGAGAATTTTGAACTTTTGGCACAGGAGCAATGGTGGAGCACTTTAATTTCGATGGGAATTCACCATGTACTAAACAATGATTCACCAATAATAATAATTTCTCTCCAATTATATTGAAACAATCATTTAGAATATTTTTTCGGAGACTCTCACTTGGATTTTTATTAGATTTCAATTTTGAGATAGCTTTTCTTAGATTGTTGATGTTAATTGTCCTAAATTGCTTCATTGATGAATTCTGACATACTTGTAGTGGACATAAGTTTGGATCACCGTCATCACTCCCAATTCTCATTTTTTGAAAACGATCGGATAGGTATGACTAAAGATATGCCATCGAGTCCATAATATTGGAGCTTGACTCAAAGCAGTCCTTGATCAGCTTTGGAAAAGCCGAGAGAAATCAGTACCTGGCATAAATATTATATTATTATATTTAATATTACCCTAAAGATGACAAACACTCATATAAAAATCTGTTTAGCTGGTGATGTGACTGCGTACTGTTTCTATAAGCACATTTTTTTAACAATTTAATTCTTCATATCGGTACGTCTCTTCCTTCCGCTAAGCCGTCCAATGTTCTCATCACAAGCAATTTGACTTCAAACTGTTTTGATTTGGGTTACGCGACTTTTTCTCACTCAAGCAACTGACATCGTTGTTTTCAATTTGTGGATTAAGCTTCTGACTATACAGGGTGATTCACAAGTCGTGACCAAAAATGAAACATCATACACAGGACCGCATTTTAAGGGGGATCTTCTATTAACATTTTTTTTTCTCGATGGCTTCATTGAAAAGATACGAGGTGTTGAAGTTTAAAAATAAAACGTTTTTCTTCAAAACCGTCAACTGGAAGGATTTAAAATTTGGTATGTGGATTTATGTAAGTATTGTCCACATTCAAAAATCTTCACTTAAAATTAACGTGCACCAGTGGCGGAGATACAGGGGCTTATTGGCATTATTTTTCCAAATAAAAATAGTACACCACTGTTTTTTTTTCGAAACTCGCAATTTTTCGAATTTCACCTTCAATTTGCTACAAATGATACGTACTAATAATAGGTTCTTAAAATCTCTTATTTAAAAATGGTATAGTTAACGTATTTCACAGATCAAAACTGCGGAAATAACACCTTGTTTATAAACATATTTTTGAATCTGGTGAATATCTTAACATTACTGTTAAATAGTGATATTAAAAAAATGAACGAATTGGTTAAATGTTAATAAACGTGCATTAAACATTAATGAAACAAAATATCAATAGGGAAATATTTAGGTGATAATACAGGGTGCGTCATCTATTACTTTTTTCTATTTGAAAAATCAACACGCTTTTTACGAGGTGAAATCGAATTTTTTATTGATAAATGAAGGTTGGTTTATGCCATTTATCTATGAAAAATAACCTCAGTCATGTGACCACCGCGGCTTCGTTTACAGGCCAACATCCGAACATCAAAATTTTCAATGACTTTTCTCAGAATAATCGGGTCTATGGCCGCAATTTCAGTCCGAATATTGCGCTTTATGTCTTGAATTGTCCGGGGACCATTCGCATACACTTTTCCTTTCAAAAATCCCCAAAGAAAATAGTCAAGAGGTGTTAAATCGCACTATCTCGGGGTCCAACTGACATCTGAATTTCGTGAAATTATGCGGTCTTGAAATTTCGTGTGCAATAAGGCGATTGTTTGGCGAGATGTGTTACTCGGTCTTGATGAAACCAAAGATCGTTGGCACCAATACGATCCGATTGTGGCCACAAAAAGTCTGTTAACATGCCGCGATAACGTTCCCCGTTGACGGTAATGGCCTTTTCTTCGGCATCTTCAAAGAAGAATGGTCCAACGATGCCACCAGCCCATAATCCGCACCAAACAGTCACTTTTTCAGGATGGAGAGGTTGTTCATGATATTGGTGTGAATTTTCGTCCCCCCAGAATCTGCAATTTTGCTTATTTTCGTACCCATTGAGGTGAAAATGAGCCTCATCAGAAAAGAGCACTTTGGCCGAAAATCCGTCTCCTCTTTCCAGCATTCAATTAAGAAAAACACGCCGCTGTTGATGGTCTGCCGGCTTCAGTTCTTGTGTTAGTTGGATTTTGTATGGATGGAGGTGTAAATCAATGTGTAAAATCCGGCGTAAAGGGGTCTCACTAATTCCCAATTGTTGTGAACGGTGCCTAGTCGAGGTGGTTGGATCTTCTTGCACACTTTCACTGACTGCGGCTATGTTTCACGAGTACGAGCTGGACGAGCATGTTGGTATCGTCTACGACCTTCAGCTGAACCAGTTTCCTCAAAACGATTAACAATACAACGAATTCCAGGCCCTGTAGGGCGTCCATGTCGACCAAAACTAGAGCGAAGTTTGCGAAAAGTATTTTTTATATTTTGACCGTTTTCGTAATAAGTTTGGATAACCAAAATGCGTTGTTGTATTGTAAACGAATCCATGACTTTAAATGGCATACCTTTGACAGTTCATTTATGCATACCACTTGACTTTTGAATCACATGATAACACATAAACTTAGGTAAAAAAAGTAATAGATGGCGCACCCAGTACAGTTAAACTCATGATTAATGGTGACAAAATTAACTGAACTACGAAACTAGAGACAATATAGATTGATGTTCTGCCAAATTGTAATAGTAGCATAACTAGGAAATCTGTATTTCAAAAAAGATTTAATAAATTGAATAATGATATTAAACAGTCCAAATTTGAAAATATTTAAAGTGAAATTATTAAAGAATCACTTTATAAATACTCAAAATGCATCGTGATGAAATTTTAATAGACAAGAATGTAAAATTACAGAAATTGCTTTAAAAAATGTGTAGACGAATAATTCTACAAATTGAAATTGTAGCATAAATGCCAAATAAACCACCAACAAACACACATTAATTATCCACGTTTCCGTCTGTTTGTGTGTGAAAAAATTATATTGGAATACATGTGCTGAGTCAAGTTACGGTGTTGCTTTTGGTGAGAATAAGGAAAGGATTTCCATTTTGTCCATAAAACGTCCGTTATAGGAAATAGTTTTTCTCTCTTCCTAGAGCAAAGTATTTTTAGGTGGTAATATTTATGCTCAGAAGGCAGCCTATCTATCCCTAGCCGTGCTAGCTGAAGGGTGCTCAGAGAAAATAAGGCTTAAATATCTAGAATCATTTTTGAAATGTGTTTGTCAAGCAATACACAATCCCAATGCGGTAGTCAGGACGCTGCATTTTTGCGTTAGGCCAGTTTGCAGAACATTTGCAAGTAAGTATTTAGTTGGTGTAGTTTAAAATGCAAGATATGTGCTTCTACATAATTTAATATACGTGTATACCTAGTGCTAAGAGAAAGGAAGTAACAAGTAAAAAAATAGTAAGTTCCAGCTCATCCATTTAACAACACTAACGAAATGCGAGCAAAGTGCATATTTAGTAACAAATGCCGCTTAGAAATTTTGGAAATTAAAAGTACTTACGGAGAAAGACGAAAAAACCCAATTTTTTTTTAGTGTCAATGGGATTTTAAAATATATTTACACATTAAACATTGTCACTACTTTTGTATCATTGTATCTCCTTTACAAGATAGCTCAATTAAAATTCAATATGGCGTTTCGTCTTTTGTCCTCCTGCATCCACTTTATTTTTTCTTATTGACGCGTATTAGTTTTTTACACAGAAGAATAGAGTTTATACAGCAGATGCTCGATAACGTAAACACGGGATAATGAAAACTTGCGCTAATGTAAACACAAACTTCGTTCTATAGGATCAAACGGAAACGCGCGATAACGTAAACAACTCTCGGCGCACGGTAACAGCGCGACGGTAAAATGCTGAAGCCTTGATGATTTATGTCGGGCGTCGGGAGTCCCCGATTTATGATATAGAGTGTAGGGGATTCACCTCTGCGATAAAATACGACAAACTCGGTCAGTCGTATGATCGCTTAGAATACGTTTATACGTACGTATGTATTTCATTTTTGAACTTAAGTGAATACATTGCACGCGTTAATATATTTTACGACTATGGCATCCACATCCTATAAAAGAAAGTGTTTAAAGTTGAGTGAGAAAGTGAAATCATAGACGAAGTTGCACTAGGTGCGGGAGTGACACAGTTAGCAAAAAAATATGAAAGTATCGAAAGCAACAATCTGTAAAATTAAGCGTATGACAACTCAAATTTTACAAAGAACGTGCAATACATTTGGAGGTCCGGGAAAAAGAAAAACTTAAAAAAAATGCAAAGGCACCTAAAATGGAAAATTCTCTGTATAAGTGGTTTTTAAAACAACAGGAAATCATGTCCCAGTTAGTGGCGAAGTACTTAAACACGAGAGCAGCGAGACTGTTAAATGAAAAACTGAAAGAAACTGAAAATTTCGTAGCTAGTGATGGCTGGCTACAACGATTCAAAACAAGATATGGAATTCGACTGCTGTCTATATCTGGTGAAAAATTATCAGCACAACCACAATTAGTGCAACCATTCAAAGAAAAATTGATGAAAACAATTACCGAGCTAGATTTAAGAATGGAACAAATTTACAACGCAGATGAAAGTGGCCTTTATTGGAAAATGTTACCAGAGGAAACCTATGCTGCATCATTTGAAAAATCTACCCGGGAAGAAAGCCGGAGAAACAACGAATAACCGTTTCTAGCCTGCACTAATGCTAATGGTTCACACAAAATAAAGCCACTGGTAATTGGGAAAGCAAAAAATCCGCGCTCATTTAAAAATGTTAATATCCCTGTTGATTATGACTGTTCAAAAACTGCTTGGATGACTAGCAGTATATTCCTGAAATGGTTCCACAGGTGCTTTGTCCCTCAGGTATGACAATCAATTATCACAAATGCTCTATTCATAATTTGAAGATGTGTTTTCAATTTGTAGGTAAAAGGTTTCCTAAAACAACAGAAGCTTCCAATAAAAGCGTTGTTACTATTGGATAATGCACCAAGTCATCCTCCCGAGCCACAACTGAGGAGCAGGGATGGGTCAATTTTCGTCATGTACATGCCGCCCAACGTAACACCGTTAATTCAACCGATGGATCAGAATATAATAAGACTCACCAAACTATAGTATAGGAAGTTTCTAATTCGCCTGTCTTATCAAAGAATCCTGAAAACTTATCTGAGGCTTTAAAAAAAGTAACATTACGAGAAGCTGTTTTAGATTTACATATGGCCTGGAATTAACTTAAGCCAGCCAACTTTTAAAAAATGTTTGGAACAATCTCTTTTGTAACAATAAATGAAGATGATGACAGAGACGATGTGTCCGCTTAAGCGTAATTAGAGAACGTTGCGATCCAATAATGATAATGTTATTAGTGTGTCATTGATGTTGTTTGATTTATTGAAAACAGTGAATCCCACATTGTTTGTAATCCTGCTGATATTAATTTATGGAACGAGATAAGCAGACGAATGATGCTGATAAGGAGGAGGATATGGACAGTGAGGATGATGAGAACGATCCCATTGAAGTCAGAAGTGTAGTGACTGACGCGCAAGCTAGACAAGTTTTTTAACCAAGCTTTAGATTGGGCTGAAAGAAAAGAAGTTTCATACATCGGATATTTTAGTTCTTCGTAAAATGACGGGCGCAGGCATTTGGAAGACAATGCTAAGCGCCAAATTTACGCAGACAAAAAATTGTTAATTATTTTTCTTCTAATTAAAAAAATGCTTATCGCTGTTAGAATATTTGTTTATTTTGTTATAAATAGTATGTATTAAACGTTTCTTTTAATAAATCAATATTATATAAATCACGTTCGCTAATGTAAACATTTCGATAATGTGAACCACACTTAGATTAAATTAGTTTACATTATCGAGCGTCTGCTGTAATTCCAAACATGTACGATCCCCTTCCCACTTCAGTTGGCCCAACTATTGAAACCTTAGTTTTTTTCTTATCCAAACACAAATAATAAAATATAAAAGTGTGTTATAGGTTTAAAATATTAACATGAATAGTTTGATAATAAAGGTTATTAGTGAGAAAATTCGGTTACTGATAATTAAATTTTTAATTCTGAGAAATCAAACTCAGAAATTGCAACTTTGTTAGAGTTATCGCGGTACAGTGTGAGAAATATTGTTAGAAGATATAACGTAACTGGTTCTGTTAATATTAAGCCACGATATGTGAAAAAAGTAATATCACAAATGCCGACCGAAGAGCATTAAGAAGAATAATCGTGAAAAACAGGCGTGCCAATTATATACAATTAAGTGCTCTGTGGAGTGACGCTGTTGGAAGAGAATTTCGAGGTCCACAACCCATAGAGAGGCCCACAAACTGGGATTTAGCACTTGCAAGGTAAGTTTTCTTATAAAAAAAGTGAAGTAAAAACGCTAAAGTTGCACAACTTGTTTATAGGCCAAAGAAAAGCCACTATTCACTCCACTGCAAAAGAAAAATCGGCTTAGATGGGCTAAAGAACATAGACAATGGACACCTCAACAATGGTGTGCAATACAATGGACTGATGAGGCCCGATTCGAAGTTTGTGTTGGTGACAGTCGCAGTAGAGTTATTCGCAAAAAAATGAAGCATTCCATGTTGACTGTCTGAAGAGAAAAGTGAAATTTCCAGCATCCATTATGGTCTGGGGCAGTATGTCATCAAAAGGAGTAGGAAAACTTCATTTTATTGATGGAAATGTGGATACAAACAAATATTTGGCAATTTTAGAAGAATCGCTTTTACCAGTGATGGAAGAATGTTTGACATCCGGCCAAGATTTTGTGTTTCAGCAAGATGGTGCAGCGTGCTATACCTCAAAAAAGGTTACAAAATGGATGGAAGAAAATAATGTTTCTGGCAGTCCAGATCTGTCACCTATTGAAACTTTGTGGCACGAGATGAAAAAGGTTCTACGACAACATCCTGCTCGAACAATCACCGAACTGGGACAACAGCTTCAAGAAATATGGGATTGTTTTACACCAAATCTTTGCCAAAACTTAGTTAACACTATGCCCTAAAGAATTTCAGCCGTAATAAAAAATAAAGGTGATATTACCCAGTGGTAATCTTTCAATTGTTGCTTTGTTAACTTCGCGCATTTATTCGCACATTGTTTATTTGTTCAGATGTTCTATTAGTTATAGGTCTAAGTGATTTCAAATATGTATTTGATACGACTAGAGTGTATCTAAAATGTTTTTGAGAAAATAAATTGTTTTAGAAGTAAATAGTTTCGTCATGTTAGTTTATAAAGGCATATTTTGGTACAAATCCTGAAGTGGGCCAACTGAAGTAGGAAGGGGATCGTATGTATGTGTATATGGATATATATGTATATACGAGTATATTCTGGTTTCCTAATATCTATTAATCATATTCATAGTTTCTTTTCTCTCTACTTAAAGCGCCTTCCTCTTCTGTGTGTGTTTTTTAGTTTCACTTTATGGCACACAGACTGTGTAAATTAAACCATTGTACTGCTCTCTAAATGGTACCTGTACTGTTGGGCAATAAATGCTTTATTATTAGTATCTCAATATCGAACTTTTTCGTGATTACAATATTTCCTCACCAGTAGGCGTGGGATGTAAAATCATTCACACAAGACTTGCATAAGCAAAATGTCACTAGTCACATGTAAGAGTGACATGTTCATAAAATAATGAACAAAACATATTAACAGGACAAAACAGTAAAGTCGTCTTTACATCCACACTAATAAAACTTTATTGTGACTGAACGCCACGATGTCACATACTGTAAAATAATGATATACTCCCCAATCACTCACTAGTGACCTTTTCATAGCGATGGATGTAAAATCGCTGACACAAGTCAAATCGCGAGCGATGGCAATTCTAGGAAACTCACGCACATAAAAAATTTATTCGCGAATTTACTGGGAAATTTTTCATTTGGAAGTCACAGAATGGCAGCCATAAATTTCCGTTGCACTTTCGTAATATAATGCTGCGCCACACACACAAGTCTAAACATAAAATCGTTTTCTGAAAAAGGAGGAGTCGCTTGTATAGTGTTTGTTTTGATACCCGCAGAGTTATTTTGATATACGACCAGGGAAGTTTATCGCACCAGTGGCGGACGAAAGTTGCATCCTAACGGGTGCAGATTACGCAACATTTCAGATTTTTAGAAAGCTAGGATCCGCTTTGGTTATACCAGTCTGACATAGAGTTTGGATAGATAGATCGACAGGGTATCTGCGAAAAGTTGGGAAATCTCGACACTGGAGATACTAAAGACGACAATATGTGAATTGACCTAAACATACCTTAGTCCAAAAGTTGATAGTTTGTGAGATACAGGGTGTCAAAG